ATCATTATATTGCATACCCGAAACTAATATAACACTGTTTGTTACTTATATGTGAATATTTAAAAAAAATTTAAAAAATTTTAAATGTAGCAATTAGCCCCTATATTACTCAGAATAAAACCCATAGTACTTAACTTTGGCCAACAAGACTCTATACAATCTTCTCCACTCTCCATCTTACCTCTTGACTTCTTGTATTCTTCTTGCACTTGCTCATTCCACTCTAGCCACATTGTCCTCTTGGCTGTCCCTAAAACACATCAAGTGTACTTCTGCATCAGGCCCTTGCATTTACCATTCCTCAGCCTCATATAGTCTTCCATCCCACTATCCCTTGATGTTCCCATGACTTGCTGCCTCCCCTTATTGAGACTTTTGCTCAAATGTCACCTTATCAGCGAAACTTTCCCTTACCACTGTATATATATTGACAAATCTTACTCCCTAGCTAGGTCTTCCCTAACCTCTTGTCTGCATTTTATATTTATGTTTATAAACAAATAAAAGATATTTGTTTGTTGTCTTCTTCCACTGCCAGATGGGTGTTCCATCACTTTAGGGACTTTTGTCTCTCTTGTTTATGAATATGTCCCCAGCTCTTGGGAAGGAGCCCAACAAAAACAGATCTTCATGAATATTGTTGAACAAATATGTTAGACACTTGAGTCAAAAATGAAAGCAGTTCCTGCTCTTGTCAAGGAGAGAGACATTTAAAGAAAAGATCATTTAAAGTATCATTTGAAAGAAGTATGAGTACAAAGAGGATGAGCTTTTTAAAGACGAGGCTCAAGGGTTGAGGATGACTTTATTCTGTAGGCAACATTTGAGCTGACTATTTAAAAATTAAATGGCATTTACCAGGTGGAGGAGATGAGAGTGTAGGGCAGACAACAGAAACACAGGTATAGATGTCTGAAAAAACAAGACACATTAAAGAACAGGGAACAGTTGTGACTAGAGCCTAAGATAATTAGAAAGGCAAGCAGATGAGTCAAGGGAAGGTAATTTGGAGCTGACTGGGAAGTAAAGCAATTTTCTCCAATTCTCAATTAATAAATTCTAAATTGTAGAATTCATAATCTTTAGTAATTGGCTCTAATTTTCCCAAGCCCTTAGCTTGTCTACATTAGGTTACTTTTACATAACAATTATGTAACAGCAAGTTGGTTGAAATTATTCCATATTATTCTTAGTAAAAAATACTCCTGACTCTCATGATCTAATACTCTATATAAAAATAAGAGCACTATATTCTATGCAACATATCTTTGGATATTAGATTTTGAAGAACTGAGGTGGAATTAGGGAAAAATACAGAAGTGAGGCTGCCAACGGTATGTGTCCTTCTCTTATTCTTTTATCATAGTGCTTCTGGTTAAGAAAAGGTATAGTTCTAAGCTAATTTTCTTCTTGCACTTCTTGTTTACTTATCTGTCTCTCCATTAGACAGCCAATTCCAATTTAGTGTCTGGTACATGCACAAAGCTTTAAAAAAGATTTGTTGGTTGGGTTGAAATTGCATCCAGTGACCTACCTACTTATACATATACCTAAAGATCTTCTGAAATTTGCCAATTTCTTGCTGTGTTTAAAACACAGAGCTATAAATTCCGTTAAATATGCAAGGAGGAAAAGAATGAGAGAAAGAAAGAGGAAAGGAAAAAGAGAGAGAGAGAGAGAAAGAAAGAGAGAGGGAAAGAGGGAAGGAAGGAATGAAGGAAGGAAGGGAAAAAGAAGGAAGGCAGGCAGGCAGGAAGGAAGGAAAGAAGGAAGAAAAAGAAGGAATTGGATGCCTTCTCTCCATTCGAGAGAGTTTGGTTGTTGAGAGCCTATGACGGGGTAAATTTATTAATATGTCTTGCCTCAAACAACTGTCCAAAATCCCTTCTTTCTGAAATTTTGTATTGTCAGAGATCAGAATAATTTATTAATCTGGAATCTGAATAATTTTTATGGATCTAGTTTATGATGAAAAGACAGAAAATTTTCACTATTTACTAATCTAATTTAGGATCTTTTCCTAAATCTGTTAATATAATTTTCTAATTAAGGAGGACAGACTTCAAAGCCCAGGACCTCATGGTAAGCATCAGGAGTCTCATCAATCAATAATAGAAGAAGGAGCTTATTAAAACACAGAAAATATTCAAAAGCATGACTCTTGAAATTCCTCAATATCTAATCAGGTCTTCACTCTCAAGAAGCTCACAATTTAGTATGAAAAGTGGACATACTAAGTAAAAATCAATAGACAGGGGTGCCTGGGTGGCTCAGTCATTAAGTGTCTGCCTTCGGCTCAGGTCATGATCCCAGGACCCTGGGATCGAGCCCCGCATCGGGCTCCCTGCTCCGTGGGAAGCGTGCTTCTCCCTGTCCCACTCCCCCTGCTTGTGTTCCCTCTCTCACTGTGTCTCTCTCTGTCAAATAAATAAATAAAATCTTTAAAAAAAATCAATAGGCAGTATGTGTCTAGCGGCAAATATGAGATGCCATTAAATAAATTACAGATGAGAGATGAACCCTCCAGAGGGTTAGTCAAAGAAGAATCCACAGGGAAGGCAAGACTTTAAATGAAGCCCTAAAAGGCATATAGGATTTTGATAGACATATTTGGGGAGAGAGAGAGAGAGAGTCTTTGCTGGGATAAGCGTATCAATAAAAATCATAGCAATAATAATAATAGTAGTAGTAGTAATAGAAATAATGTCTTCTGCTACTATCATTTATTGGGTATGATGATGTTCTGAAGAATGATTTTCATTTCCTTTGATGGAAGCACCTCATGTAGTTTTACTTAAACCTATCAAATTTAATAGAAAATATTTTATCTTGGAACATTAGATTTCAATGCACGAGAAATGGGACCGTGGCTGGAGACGGGTTCAGAATTTCCTGGTAGAGGCAGGAAAGAGCAGACAGAACTTGTGCAGATCAGATCTTTATTGTCTCTAAGCTTAAATACCACTAACTAATTAAACTCAAACTTTATAAGAGTCTGACTCAGATTGTAAAAGGTGTTCCTACAGTGCTAGACATGAGTCTAGACTTAAAGCCAACCTTGACATCCTGGATACATGTTAAGATCCTATGTGGTGAGCTCAGATTTCTAGTGGTTTGTAATGTAGTTTCTATAAAATGGGGTATTGGTGGGGTTTTTGTTTCTTTTTTTAAACGAGATAAAGACAAAATTAGTCAACTGCATTCCTGGGCGAGGAGTGGCTCTACTTACTAAGACATGTATTCTATTAGTTTCCAGCCACGGTCCCATTTCTCATGCATTGAAATCTAATGTTCTAAGATAAAATATTTTCTATTAAATTTGATAGGTTTAAGTAAAACTACATGACGTGCTTCCATCAAAGGAAATGAAAATCATTCTTCAAAGTGGAATCAATTTGCAATTGTGACAGATGATGTTTTTCAAATTTCGCTGCAGTTCCACAATGGCACTTTGATGTCCCTGAAATAATTGACATTAGAAGCAATTCTCTATTTTAAACTGTGTTCTACTTTCAGTTTGGTTCTTCATAATAAGAACACACCACAGGGTCCTGGATTCTTGCAGTTTTTATTTTGCAAGCGACTTTGCATCATAAATAAAAATCTGCTTTTTGTAAAAGAAATTTCTGGTTTTATAATAAAAAACGTTTTCTCATTTTTATACTGGAAAGAAATATGTGCTTCCTTTGAGCAATTAATGTAAATTGATGCATATGTTATCATCTATATTATATCACATATCTTAGCTGAAATATAGCTCTATTCCAAGCAAACATCGATTGCATTTAGTTTTTATTATTTATAAAAAAATTTCCTGAAGACTAAAGAACCAAGCTAAATGCTCAATTTCTTCCAAAATTTCTGGGGAATAACCAAGCTGAGATCATCACAAACTTGAAGCAAAAGTAACAGAGGATTAATAGGCTGACATCAAGCTCTGTGCCCCCCGATCTTGAAGCGTCTCTGCTGAGGCATGGACACCCAAAACCCCACTTACTGAAAGCTCCTAGGCAGATGCAGATTTTCTGTAATGATAGCTTTGAAATCTTCGATCTCTCATTATTGTGGGTTCATGGCAGATTTCCCAATCATTCTCAAAACATGAGAAAATAGCAACAGTGCAGTGAATTTTTCATAAACAAATATATTTCATTTAAAGGACTTCCCTTTAAATAGGAGATTGTCCTTTTCTTAAGCCTGTTCTTTATAAAATAATTATTATTGTTGATAGTAGGATGTTTGTTGTTGTTTTTAACATCCTTACTTGGCAAAATGAAAAGTTGCCAGTCTTGTGTTCATCCCCACTTGCTTTTCTTTGAAACTATGCTAAATATCAAAAACCTGGAATGAGAACCACTACTGTAGAAAATACCAGTGGGAACTTAAGTGAATTTTCTTCCCTCTGGCCCCATGGGTTTTAGGGACACGTACAACCCATTGCTTCATTTTTTTTAAAGAGTAGGTGAAGTAGCAAGAATTCTGTTAAGAGTTCTCTAGCATCTAAGACATTTCTTCAGAGGATAAACATTATATCCTGGTTTCAATAAAACACCAAGGGACTAGATTACAAATATCATTGACTCCTGAAATATGTATTACAACATCGACCTCAAAGTAGTATTAACATATTTGTCAATGATTTTATCATTCCTCAGTCTGAATCCATTTTACAGTGCAGATTAGCTCTACTACTTGCCAAAACTGAGTTTCGTATCATTTAGTTATTTGATAAGATGTTTCCAGATTACTCCATCCCTTTGCGTAACTTTCAGTGAAAAGATTTAGTATCAAATGCTCACGTCACTGAAAATCACTGTAATTGCCAATGTCTTCCAGTATTCTAGGATCAGTGGAAGTAACGAAAAGCTGATAAGATTGAAAAGTGTCCTATGTGACTTGACACCGTCTTGAGAAAACACGGGGTGTCTGTGAGTTGTGTTCTACCTGAGTAATGGTACATTTGACATTCTGTTGCTTTCTTTCCTTTTTCCCCTTTCCAGTGAAATCAGATGAGTTACAGACAATCAAGAAAGAATTAACCCAGATCAAAACGAAAATTGACTCCTTGCTAGGGCGCCTGGAGAAAATTGAGAAGCAGCAGAAGGCGGAGGCAGGTAAGTGAAAAGGATCAGTGGCCACAGACATGTCACGGTTAAACGGGTGAAACAGTGTCAATCACAGGGACAGCGCAGGGCCCGGGGGGGGGGCGCTGGCCGAATTTGACAGGTTAATACAGACACATGAAGAATGTCTCTAAGCCAAGAGTTGCAACCATGCAATCTGAACTTTTACTCATCAGAGAACATGAACCAATTTGTCTAAACTTCATGTTTTTAAACAAGGAAAAGTATTTTGATGGTAATAATCACAGTTGTATCGTAATTAAAAGTTAATAGCTCAATATCAAGAATCCTTCAAGAAAATAAAATCAATTAGTGGAATATCACTGTCAGACTAAAATAATATTATATATTTAAATAAACTAACCGCAGAAATACAACAGATTTCAGAAACGAGGATTATAAAGCCCAGCCTCTACATTGCTCCAGTCCTGTAAAACCAATACCCAGTTTCAGGGTCCTGCACATCAAGAGTATGTCCCTGGCCACCCCCAGCCAAGTCATTTGATTATATCTTTTACAACTTAGTGCCCTTTCTCCTTTGAACTATCATCCTTGACCCTATTTCTCTTCTAATACAATTCTAATGCCCTCATCAAGTGGCTACAGATGTTTTTTAAATCATAGAATATGAGAACTGGGATAAAGTTAGAGCTGAGCGAGTACACAGTTTGAAAATCATGTTCTGCAAGGCCTCAAATGCCTCAGAGGCTTCCTGGATATAGGATGAGGGTTAGAAGGAGGCCCAGGAGGTAGTAGATGAACTCGTGCCTCCTCCAGACCTGCCCTTGCTCTACCTGTGTATCTATTTTATTACTGGGTTTCAACATACGACTTCATTTGCTAAAAGAGCTTCACTTTTCAGGGGCACCTGGGCGGCTCAGTCAGTTAAGCGTCCAACTCTTGATCTCAGGGGGAAAAAAAAAGAACTTCACTTTTTAAAAAATACAGTTTTGAAAGCCATTGATCAAATCCAGCCTCCTCATTGCACAGATGAAAACACAAAGGTTCAAGGAGGTAGATTGATTTTTCCATAGTCGCTTGACTAGTGAGTGATAGACCTGGGTCCCAAACCACAGTCTTGCGAGTGAATCTAGTGCCCTTCCCATTTATGATTTCAATCTCAGGTTGCACCCAGGACCTGGTCCCAGGATTTCACTGACTGAGGCCCTCTGGGTTACTCTTAACTGATGAGAACTGGTTGGGATCCTGGGGTCCGTGAGCTACACAGCAAAGACGAACCTGCCTATGTGTTCACTGTATCACTGGGTGAGGACTAGAGCTTTTACCTCCTGGTGATGAGCTAGGACTCAAAGATGAAAAGAAGGCAGATGTAAGTTGGTGGTATAGGATAGTGAATGAGAGAAATAAACTCTGGTTCAGATTCTCACGCACCACTGACTTAGCCTCCTGTTTCACATTTATAAAATAAAGATAGTAATCCCTACCTCACATTGTGAGAAACAAAGTATCCTATGTAACTTATATAGCACAGTAATTAGCACAGAGTAAAGGTTCAATAATTGGAGCTGTTTGGCATTGGTAGTAACACAAGCATATATAGGCAAATGAACATTTCCTACTATTTTCACACAACCTATTTTTTTTAAAAACATGAGCTATATACCTAGCACATGGGTGGCAGATTCTCACTAATGTGGATGAGAAAGAGTAGATAAAACAATCATTATATTAAAAATTTCTATTATCAACATATTTTTTACTGAGAAAAGATATGGGCAAAGGATTGGAGTAGACATTTTTCTAAAGAAGACATACAGAGATGGCCATCAGGGACATGAAAAGAGGCTCAGCCATCACTAATCACCAGGGAAATGCAAATCAAAACCACCAGGTAAAATATCACCTCACACTTGTCAGAATGGCTAGTATCAAAAAGACCAGAAACAACAAGTGCTGGTGTGGATATGGAAAAAAGTGAACCCTGGTGCACTGTTGGTGGGATTGTAACTTTCCACTATGGAAAACAGATGGAGGGTCCTCAAAAGATTAAAAATAGAACTACCATATGATCCAAAAATCACACTGCTGGGTATTTATTTATTTAAAGACAACAAAAACACTGCCTACACTTCTTAATAGAGAAATTTAGATTTTAGAAAGTTTTTATATGCTGTCTATGGCACTAATCTAAAATGTGGCTGTAACTGAAATATTCTGTGATGTCACCTAAGTCAATATTTCCCTTTGAGGAACTTCTGTGAAATTCGTTATTATATAAAACAACCCTTACAGCAAAGGACTTTGATAACTAATTTGCACTTCAGTTTAAAGGGTTATGGAGAACTCATTTAAATATAAATCACCTCAAAGAGAAAAATGTGATCCTTATTCTATCATATTATACCTTCCAGTTTCCTGCAATGAATAATACCTTTCACATATCTTCTTGGAAGATCATCTATAAATGTAACGCCAAAATTCAAAGCTTGCATTTTCTTTTCATGAAAGGCTGTCATCTTATTTTTGTACATGTTTAAACTTTCCCAGTCATGAGAGAGTTATTTTTAAAATGATAGGCTTAGTCTTTTGATATTTATGTCTTTCTTACTTTAACATGTTAAGAAGAAAATGGAATAATTCGTAATTTCATTCACTTAGTAATTGTCTCCTGAACAACATTCGTATTTATGGAGATAAGATGATTACCTTCTAGATTTTCTTTATGAAAAGAAATCAGGGTTGTAAGGAAAGAGTCAAGACTAGATTATAGAAAGTGGAGAGAAATATAATAAAATTCTTTAAAAATACCCAATATTTCCTTACTAAATTTAAGGGAGCACTCATTTTAATGCTTATTTGGTTGCTAAGCTAATTATTTCATAGCTAACTAACATTTACTCTTCATTATTACTCTTCTATACATCTCTCATTCCCAGTCTTAGTTATTTGATAATGAAATTTTCCAACATAAAGTACTGGCAGGAAGGAGATGGAAGATCACAAACCAAAGATGGGGAAATTACACAACATGGAGATTGTCCAGTATTCAAGTTTCATACTATCATTTTTTTTCTTTTTTGTTTGTAGTGAATTTCAAAGCTATAAGGAATAATTGTAATGAAGTATAACTACTTGATTTGGGATTCTCTATACCTTCAATTGCTTCTAATAGATACTTGTATGGTGTCTTGTCTCTTTGAGATTGTCAACTGCCTGAGCATAAGGTCATGTCTTCTCTTCCTTCTCTAACTCCCCAATACCAAGTACTATGTACCGGGCACAACCTGGCAACTAATTTAACTTCTCTAGGTCTCAACCCCTCAAATGTAAACTAGAGGAATGGATTATGACCTCAAACATACTATCCCGACTTTTAAAATTACAGTTAGCATAAATCCACAATGCATATATTATTTTTTTTCTTGAATAATTCAATAAACACAACTTTGGGATATAGTGTATGTAGATTATTAAAAACAACAAGTAATACTTATGTCAATGTAGTCTACAGTTGTGCCTCATTCCTGGATGATTCTTTTAAAAGAGCCACATATAAATGGCCATATAGGAATGGCACAATTTACATGTGGTTTACACAGCGATGTTAAATGACCAAAAATGGTAAAAGAGGCAAGAAGGAAAACTAGAAACTGGGTATCATACAACGGGCACAATTAATACAGGCAACTACATTTTTTAAAAAAATCAAACTTCAGGCATAAAGTCTCTGATGTGAAAAGGCAAGTAGACATGATTTAATTCAATTTTATTTTCAGTGGTGTGCCTGATACATGGCCATCCAGTCCTGCTTGGACAAGTCTAATGATAATAGCAAAAGTTTAACCTAAGCATTGGAGAGGTCACAAACCAGATCCCATAAGATAAATTCATCCCCCCCCCAATATGTTTGGTAAAAGATACAGAATTTTAAAAAATAATGTCCAAGAATTATAATATTACAAATAAATATCAAAATACATAACTGCTTTTGAAAAGTTGGAAGCTTTCAACATTGCTATCATTTTATGCATGGCATACTCTTTTCAGTTTGCTAAGATTTTTATTTAGCCAGTTCACACATGAATGTTATTTACTTGGTTGGTCTCTGTTTACGTTTGTATCTCAGATGCCTATGATAGGTTCTCCTTATAAGTCACCAAACCAAAAGGTCTTTTGTTTTCACTCGGTTTGGTCATCCATTTTATGTCCCCTGAAACCAAACTAATGTCTCATCCATTGTGAATGTAACAGCCAATTAAATACTTAAAAAGAGCTATAATATTTCACCCCCAACCTTTGAGCGGAGAGTCAACATAATTGGCCCATAGATGTTCAACTTAGCGGCATTCAAATTTTTGTCACAGCGTCTTTGAAGCCTTCTTTTCTCTAGATAAATATCAATAATTTTTTCAGCTGCTTCTCATGTAATTTGGTTTTGCATCTTGAACCATTGTCGTCTCTCTTCTCTGGTCATTCTGTAGTTTGTCAACCATATACTGAGGTACTCAGAATGGAAAACATTGCTCCAGATATGATCTGGAGCACCTATAATGTGCTCCCTATAACATAACTATTTCTGCCACCTATAACGTGACTATTTCTGTTCTGAATACCTTGCTGCTAGCATTTGCACTCTGGATTAAGTTGGTGATGTTTCTGGTTACAGATATTGGATTAAATACATGAATTGAGCTCTGCTGTCTCCTGAAACTGCACTAAAATGATAGGATTTTAAAAATGAAAACCTCTAGGCATAAAGAGAATGGGAACAGAATTTTAGAAGCTAGACAGCAGATGGAGAAATGCACCTGACTTAGCATATCCTAGAAATCTGGGTCCAATTTTAACTGCAGAAATACCAAAAGGCCCAAAATTAAAGACATATTCTTCTGGAAAAGAAGTTATAAATGGTTGCAAGTCTGTTGAGGAGTCAAATTCCAACGTCACCATTCCTAACTATCCTTGACCCACTAGAAAGCTGATGAAATTTCCTACAGAAAAGCTACAACAGCAGATCTCAGAGCTGGTAA